CAAATGTGGAAGGTGTTAAAGAGGACATCAACATGTTTTTTTGCTTTAGAGCCAAGTGATTTCTTTAATCAGGGCATTGTAAGATGGAAAAGTATCATCGATAAGAATGGATTCTATTTTGTTTAATAAATGTTTTGTTTAGATATACAAGTTGTTCGGGTTTTTTCATCTAAAAAAGCGACATTAATATCTTGACGACCTAATATATATGTATCATAGGCGCCTAAAAGGGGTGGGGGTGAGGCAGAAAGGGTATATAGCTATATGCTACCCAACTTTGAAGATTTGCTGGCAGAACATTTCTCGCCAGTTCTCGCACATAATATATATATATATGTGGCCAGGTGGTTAGGGCGCTCGACTCGTAATATGCGGGTTCGAATCCCCATCACCCTCAAACATGCTCGCCCTTTCAGCCGTGGGGGCATTATAATGTGACGGTCAGACCAACTATTCGTTGTCAAAAGAGTAACCCAGGAGTTAGCTGCCTTCCCTCTAGTCTTACACTGCTATTCTCGAGGGTTCTAGAATGCTCGAGTGTTTACTAGATGTGCGGTATTCTTGTATAAAAGACCGCCAAGAAGTGACGGCAACAATGGGATTGAATTGCAGACAGAGACAGACAGTTGTGTCAAGCGCGTGAATCGTTCGTTGTGAATTATAGAGTTTGTTTAAGTTATAGCGTGACTGTGGAAATTAAGTGTATTGCAAAGTTGTATTAAGAAAGAATAAACTAGTTTTATTTAAGAAAGGACTTTTATCGCTAAAGTTTCTTCGGAAATCATTTTTACGGAGAATTAACAAACGAACACAGAGGCGTAACAATATTTTGAATGTGTCCGAAAAGAAATTATTATTAAATTTTGAAACCTTACACTTTATCAATTTACTTCGACGCTTTTTGGTTTAAAGTTTAGTTTATCAGATTCGTATAGGATAGGGGGAAGTTGGCGTTGACAAATTAGTCATGACCACAAACTGAGATATTGATTTTAAAATGTTCTTAAATTTGCACAACACCTCCCCCTTATCCAAGGCCAATCCCTTCTTCTGTTTCAGGAAGTACACACAATTTTATTACGAAAGAAGCGACGACTCAAAAAAAAACAAAACAAGTAATGAATTAAAACAAAATGGCTGAAAGAGCGCTCTCGAAAATACATACCAAACATATAAATCTCACATGCAGTTCTAAAGATAAGAATTTACATTTTTAAAGAAAGCAGGGTCGTGACAAAATACATATATAACTGTAATAAATCTTTATTTACATTAAATGTATTGCACAGAACATTTTCTAAAAGAAAGTTTACCAAAAAAATTAACATTTTGTAGTGGTGTTTAGTTTAAACGATTACAAGGAGAAATATTCATATCTGACATCAACTGCTTGTAAATAACAAGCGGGAATAAAAACACTACGAACTGCACGGTCATCGGAATAAACATTTTTCATCACTACAGGTTAACGTAGGGTTGGATAACGGTTTAGTGGGACTTTAGGCAATACTTGATAAAATAATAATTATAACAACTCACTCTTGCCTCTATTCTGCTAGTTTTAGGAACCATAATTTGTTTACTTGAGTGGCCGGCAGGGCACTAGGCCTATACGTTAATCCAGTACTGAGTTAAAGTCAGATGTGAATACTTATCCTATTTAAATTTTTATTTTAAACTAATACTAAAATTAATAAGTTGTTAAATAGCATATTATATTTTCAAGTAATGATTCAGCAAGTTAACTCAATTTGTGTTAATACAAAAAGTTTGAGTCTTACAATTAAAACCTAAACTGATTTTCAGTTTTAGATATATTACCCCTGTACTTACTGTTTGTTTCTATATATTTGAAATGCCAGTTTTGTGGGTCACAAGTTCATGATTACTGCTGACAATACAGTTTCAGTTGATGATTCAATGCACTCCAACTACAATAAGTTTTAGTTTTCTTGTTCATTTATTTATAGCATTAAGAGTTCTAGTCAGTTCTTTATATGGGATGAGCTTAGACGTATAAAGATGATTTACTTTTGGGCAGAAGTTCTTAATTCATACAGTGATTTATTAGATGAAAACTTGGGGAACGTGGTAAAGCCTTACAGCACCAATGTGTATATACACATTAAATTCTGTTGCACAAATTTAAGAATTGTGATACACCATATGTTTATATCTGCAAGTGCATCATTGGTAACTAACTTTATCACCAAAAGTGCACCATTAGTAACTAACTTTATCACCAAAAGTGCATCATTGGTAACTAACTGTATCTCCGCAAGTGCACCATTGTCAGTGATGGTGCTTTATAATACGTAAAGCTCAAAATCCTCAGTAGATTTATTTGTTAAGTTTAAGCTCCAATCTCAGTTTTTGTCATGGTAATTTTTTATATATATAAAAGTACTGAGAGAGAGAGTATTAAATGCAAAGATGGTCCACAGCATCAAATTTTATATTAACTTAGGGATACACATAAGTTAGATTGTGAAATGTTATACATTAGTCAAAGTATAAACTTTAAAATACATAAGTCAAACTGTAAAATTTTTTAAACACACAAGTCAAACTGAAAGTTCACTGTTTATTTATAAAAATATAAGATTAATAACAGATCTTTTATTTTGTTCTATTTAAACAAAATCATTATTAACTACCATTTAGATCCAAAATACAAGTTATGTGCAAGTGTTTTGCACTGGTAGATACTCTTGACAAAACTAACAACCTATAAAGTGAAAAGTTAAACTTACAACGTTAAGACATTAGCTTAGTAATCTCCCAATATTCATTTCTACAGAAATAATCTACCTTCACAGGAGAGTATGCCACCATTAAAACTTCTGTAGTTAGTTTGATACCTTATTCTAGTTGAAACTACAATTTTGAAAGTGTGCCAAAGATTACAGGAACTAATTCTAAGTAGTTCTGTTGTCATGTGTGCGTATATATATATTTTAGATAAAACTATTAAAAGTGTGTTAGCCAGGATTGTTGATGTAGGACTATAATAGCTAACGAGTTCTTAATGACCTGTGTTAAAGTGACTTCACATCTTGTCACTTGGTCCTGATAATCTCCCCTCAAACACTATTCTGAAATTACTTGATTGGAAATCATACCTCATAAACAAGCTTCTAAACTAAGGTGAAAGTGTGTATTAAAGTTGAACTAAATTATATCAAACAAACTAGGAGATTCATACTTCTCGAAAACAAACTTTGTTTGTTGTTAATGGGCAGCCTGTACTCTGTCCACAGTAAGTATCAAAATCCAAGTTTTAGCCTTATAAGCCCCCAGACTTACTGCTGATCCACAGGAGGGTGGATGGGAGAATAACAAACACAAATATAATAACTATACTTTTCTTACTTCACAATAAAACATAAATTAACTGACTTTATTGTTTTTAAAATCACATATATGTCAATCTATATTGTTACAGTTTCTGTAAAATACAATTATACCATGTCAATGTTACAATACATCAAGCTCACAAAGAGATTGAAATATTTCTCAGTAAATTGTTTGATTTATTTATATTGATTAAATACTCTTTATATATATATTTTTTTATCTATACGACTAGAAACTGCACATAAATTAATTATACATATGGTTTCTCTTCAGTAAAAATTTAAGTTTATCAATTTCAGAGACTGGTGCCACAATGTGATATTCAGATGGCAATGAAAGTAGAAATTTAAAGGGTTATCTTTAACTTTGGATAAAACAGCTTTTAAGTTGCACTTTCATGCCAGATCTTTTACACTAATTCACAAATTGAACACTTATGTTATTATGTTTAACGTATGTTTCATGAACCACATCTATCCGCCAAATGTTTAACAGTTTAGTTGTTACAACGGTACTTGCTGACAGTAATTCATAAGTTACACCAATGCCTTCCTGCCAGATGTTTAACTGTTTCCTAAGTTGCACTGGTATACGTTAACAGTAATTCATAGTTACACATCTGTAGGCCAAATGTTTACCAGTTTAGTTGTTACAACAGTACTTGATAACAGTAATTCATAAGTTACACCAATGCCTGCCTGCCAGATGTTTAACTGTTTCCTAAGTTGCACTGGTATACGTTAACAGTAATTCATAGTTACACATCTGTAGGCCAAATGTTTAACAGTTTCATAATTTGCACTGGTATAAACAGTAATTCATAAGTTATACCAACATCTGCAGGCCAGACGTTTAAGAGTAATTCATAACTTGGACCATTATCTGCAGGCCAGATGATACTGTGTTAGCATACTGTTGGTTGTTTATCACCATTTCATATGTATTTGAATGACGGTCATTTCAGTCTATATATTTCTCAGGCTATCACATTACACTGCAAGATCCTGGAACATAAAAAACGTGTAAGTTAGTAAAATACTTTAAAGAAACTTATGATATTTGGTACATAATTAGTTGTTCATTTTTATTTTCTCAATCTTTACAAATGTTTCCTTTTTTTAAAACAGTAATTAAGAAGTATTAAAGGTTGATAAATAACCAATAAGCACACCAGACTTAGCACCTAAATTCACATTCACAAACTTTACTAACGACAATTGGTACAGGTCAAAACTGTCACACTACTTCACTCATGGAATAAATGTTCTTACACTACTTGAATAGTGGGTTTCATTTGAAAACTAACATTTTATTTTTCATTGCAAGAACATGTGTATAACCTTGTTAGATAATATTCTAATTTTCTTAGTATAAATATTTACTACTTTATACATACAATGGTTGTATAGAATAAATTGAAACAAGTTTCTAAAAAAGGGTATGGTTTTAGGCCATCAAGAGTTTTCAGGATGGTGCTAACTTGAGTTTGGCCAAGGTGTTGTATTAAAAAGAACTAAATCCAATTATTTCAGGGATATTTAAGTGTTTTACACTCACAAAAAAGAACCTATCATTCTATAGGTATTTGAAGAAATTGTAGCATTCTGCCACAACTTAATTCTTCGTACTGTTAGCCAAAATAAATAGAGTTGTTTAAACTCAATTCAAAAATCTGTTATCTAGAATATCTCATTGTAGTTTGACGGAACTAAAATCTGGTGAGATGACATGTCAGGGTAGATGACTAAAAGCTTTAATAAACTTGGTAAATCAACCTATAATGACTATTAGCATGTGGATAACGCAGGATGACGATAAAGCATCATGATAAGGACCACAGTTTGGAGATTATTTTATGTTCTAATGTAACGATTAGATCAAATCTATACAAAATGCTATTCAGCCCCATAGATGTCTACTAAACAGCTGGAAATAACCAGTTTCCTATTTGGGCTGTCTCCAAACAGCAGTTAAATGCTCATTCGATGGAACAAGGATGAAGTAAGATTGAAGACGGCTTGAATGATTAATGAAGAATACTTTATTACAAATTTTATGTTAAACTTGTAATAAAGTTTTCTTTGTTACCCATTCAAGCCATTTTCAAACTTTATGTTCTCAAAGTAAATTCCTCATAACTAAACAAGGAAGAATATTGAATAACCTGAGGGGGATCTCCTTTCAACATTGTTTTTGAGCACAGAATTTCTAGGTATTGCCCCATTTCAGGCACTTGATGGAGTACTGTATGGCATGAATATAACTGATCTACTAATCAGTGAGCTTACATCTTACAGTTTCTCAGTAATGGTCTTCCAGTTATAGTTGCTTTTTTTCACTTGTAGTTTTACTACTCGCAGTACAACTAATTATAAATAAAATCTATAGTCTTAGTTAGAGGTTCACTTTACAAGGCAGTCCTTAATAGCAATCTGTTAGATTTATCCTGAAAAATGAACAACAGTAATGGTGGCTAGTTCTATATATTATTTGTTTTAATGTCAGGCTACAGAACGGATTATCTGTGCATCTCAGCCATGGGATCAAACTCCACATTTTAGTGTTAAAAGCTCACTCCTGAACCAGCAGGTGTTTCCTTACATACACACAAACACCTGGATGTGACATTGTACTTGATCTGTAAGCTAAATCTAGGAAACTATTCATTCACAGAAAGAGGATCACATGTTTATTAAGACAAACAGGTGTTTTAACTTTTAGTCCAACTCTGATATAACTGTAAGCCGAGAAACAAAGCATTCTCACCTTGTTTCTCGTAATATAAACACACGTTTAACGTCGAACTCTACAGCATCTAACAGTGTTACAAGCTATATTTTCATGTTGTAACTTGTTAGTCAGAGGGAGCTACTGGTCTTAATGAAGATGTTAAGATCAGAAGGTTTAATAAAAGAGGTTTAGAACATCTAGAAAGCTTTATGGAGGTGAAGTAGTGTGTTCTAGTAAATTTGAAGTCAGATTATAAATCAAAATATCGTGAAGCAGGAAGACTTATTTCAAGATAGAGGGTAAACCACTCAGTAAGTTAGCCACCACAGTTACTTTGTACAGGTAAGTTGATTTGTTAACATCATTTGTAATGTAGACCTATGAGAGGTACACGTGTTTAAGTTCACAGAAAAGTTAAAAGAGGAAATAAAGTGATTTATTATCATTACATGAACTGGACTTTGAATCATTTTCACCAGATAATTTGAAAGAACTATGCTATTTTTTTCTACAATTAAATTTCTACTTGAAATGTTTGGCAGACCTTAATGCAGTTACTATTTATGCGATTTTTTAAAATTTTGTGCAAAATTCATAGACAGTTAATCTAAGTATTTTGATAAGTAAAATTTGACTGCCACTTGAACCCTGTCTTTAAATTAATTGAAAATAATTTATAAAAATTAAACAATACCATGAAGTTTCTTTGTGACAGGAAAAAGTCACAAAACAAATTTGAAAATTTCTTTAAGCTTAAAAAAGACATTTAAAATACTTGTGATAATGAAAAATACATTAATTTAGCAGTTAAAAATCTCTACTTTTTCTTAACTATGTCAATAATATCTATAAACAAAAACTGAGTCAAAAGATGACCTAAGTTTAGTAACAAAATATGAAAATTTCCTATGCTTAGAAAACATTTGAAATACAATTTTCCTGCAAACTACTGGATATGGTTGGTTGGTTGGTTGGTTGG